AGGCAACAGTAGTACTTAATTGGTTTATTCAACAGTAGTACTTAATTAGGTTGAGGCAACAGTAGTACTTGATTAGGTTGAGGCAACTGTAGTAGTTGTTTAGGTTTTGGCAACAAAAGTACTTGGTTAGGTTTAGGCAACTAAAAGCACTAGTTAAGGCCAAGCTACAAGTGGATCGCAGTGATCTACTGTGGTTGTAGTGGAAGGCGTTCTCCAACAGAACCTCTATGCGTCCGTTGAGTATGCAGTGGTCTGTGTATGCGTCCGTTTGGGAGTATAACCGAGGCTTAAGTTAGAGCCCGGTTCGTCCCATACAGACACTAAAAGGTGCGTCGGTATCAGACAGCGAGGGCCGCTGACCAAACGTGGGTATTTGACGTGTTGTTACGTGATGAGAAACTATGTTTTAGGTTTGGTTCCGTTGGTCGGACAACAAGCTATTTTTTAATCGTCACCTTTTAGCAGTTTTCTCTCTTTTTGAACATTTTATAAACCTAATCAAGACAATATTCTGCAAATGAATCAATAATCAGCCACAGCTCTATTACTCACTGTCTACATGTTAATTGCTATTTCATACATAAATAATGTTTGGCTGCAGGGTAAATCTAGCCAGAGGTTTGTTTCATTGTCACATCTTTCTTCCCTCACACATGATGGACTGCAGGCAGAATAGTTGTTGCGGTTGTTGAGCATCAGTAAACTTTGTACAGCTTACAAATTCACCGTTAATATTTGATGTTGACCAGATTTGTGCTACAGAAGCAGTTTGTCTTCCACTTTTGAAATCGTCTGACTCTGAGAAGCTCAGCTGTATTTCTTGTCTATGATTATTAAAATGTATGAGCACATTTAGTTTGAATGCTAAGATATTTACAGTAGGCTGATGGAAACCAGAACTAAGTCTGTAACGGTCCGGGCTGGATGCTCGTTAATATTCATGAGAGTATTTCTGATTAGAAAACTCTGGGAATGAACCTGATTAGGCACGCCGAATCAAACCCCATTATAAATCCAATTTCATTCGAGTAAAAGTCACAATGCAACAAAATCATATTCATAATAGGTTTGAAGTCTAAAACAGCAAGAATCCACGTGAGGGCCATTAGCGGCAGCTCTCCGATCAAAGGAATGTAATGGGAAATGATCGATTTTAGCTGAGAGCGCGGTTTGTGGTAATTATGGTCGCGGTTGGAGAGAACGGATGGCGACCGGTCTGCACGGAATTCAGAGGTGAAGGAGGTGGTGATGAAGAGCCTTTAAAGTGTCCTCTTCATCACCTCTGCTGTCGCTGCTGTCTATCGGCGGCCTCCATCTGTGTCTCAAAGTGTGACGGCCTCATGCTGGTCTGCAGTAGCTGGAAATCATCCACAGGTCTTGATTGTCGTTTCAGATTTCGAGGAAATGGAAGCTGCTTCCAGACTTCCAGTTCCCTCATTAAACTCTTTCATTCTCCCTGCTGTTACTTTTTCTTTTACTGTTGATACATTTTGATGATAATGAAAGTAAAAGAGGGTTTTTTCTTCCTGAGAGTGGAAACAACGACCCCAACAAATCACGATAAAAAAAGAAAATCTGGTGCAAAGACGTGAAAGGGAGAACAAGTTGGAATGAATACAAAGAAACGATAACCTAAATAAAGTTTGTAGGAATTAAACAAACATGCAGAAACATGCCGTTAATACTGAGGAGGCTGTCCCTCCGTAGTATTACAGTATGTCTGGTTGAATTAGACGAAAGCTGCAAATCATTGAGCAGAACTGGTTTATAGCAAATAAATGTACACATGTCGATTAGATGTTAATCTGAATGAGAAATAAAGAAAGAGGAAAATACTTTGGTTATAATAATCATCCGTTATCTGATCAATTTGACCCAGAGAGACGTGATCACAACAAGAGGTTATCACAGTATATTATCTTATTATAATACTATTACTTAATGTACAACTTGGTGTCGCTACTTTACCAATAACAGATCATCAACCACTGCTCCTATCTGCAACTAATGAGTGTTTTCATTCATTCATCTGTCTATTAATTGAATTGTTAATTTACTATTAAAAATTAAATGTCCATCACAACATCGTACTTCAAATTGTTTTGTCCGACTAGCCCAAAGTTGTTCAGTTTATTTGTTATTTAAAATTGATCATCTCTTCACGTTCAGAGTAGATAAATGTATGAATGCACTCAGCGGCGTGTTTTCACTCATGTCTTTGTCCTGTTTTAGTTTTTATCGATTTGGTGTTTTCTTTTGGTCTTCATGTTCTTGACCTGTACCTTAATTTTGCTTCTCGCCAGTCGATGCGTTTGCGTCAAAGTCTAAATTATTTATCGGGCCGATTGATTTGCTGGTCCATCCTTCGACAGGCCGGCTGTTCGGCCGATAATGGCTTCGTAACTGATGTTGTGGTCGTCGACTGATTGGATGATTGATGGATTGTTTGGCAAAAAGAAAATGAGTTAAGCTCCGGCAAAAGGGCAGTATGAGCAGCGAGGAAAGGGATGACATTTCTCCGAGTACAATTTATTGAATGAAGCTGTCTTGCTTACTGTGCAGCTTTCACAGAAAGCCGCAGTACACCTGTAAGATGTGATCGGCTCAACCGAGCTGCTAACACATCTGTCTGAAAATGTGATTTTCTTGTTTTCGTCTGCAGGCGCTCTACAACTCAATCAAGAACCAGAAGCTGCAGTGGACCCTGTGAGTCATTTTATGTTGATATCATTCACCTTAAACTACATTTATTTAGTTTTCTCCTCCTCTTGTTTCTGTTCTTTTCCTTCAATGATGAACTGACATTTAAGGGAAGACACTACAGGTGCAGAGGGTAAAATATCTGTAACTAAGAGATATCACCATGAAACTTCCCCAGTTCATTACTTACATTAAGACAATTCTTTTTTGTATTAAAAGTTTTCCAAATTTTTACTTTTACATTTTTCAAATGATGCATTTTACAGAGGGATTTTTGGATATCTTTTCTCCATGTTTTTATTAATAACATGTAGCATAAATGAGTGTGTGAGTGATGAGTGAACTAACCCCTCTGTGTGAACCTTCAGCACACAGAGAGGAATGAACGAGTGAAGTTTGGTGAAAGTAAGAGCTGCTGAAGTGGAGATTTATCATCAGAGTCTGAGAACAAACTCATTTAGAGGAAACGTCCTTTAAAGAGACGTTTAGTTCCATTACAGACATTTAGAGACTCTACAGGTGAACACATGAACTCA